GCAGGAAACCAGGCAAGGACAGGGGCAGGATCCAGCATACAGCAATGTTGCTCCCGCAACCTGGGTGGGGTCCAACAGCCTTTTATTTTTGTCGGGGTATCGGCCGGTCCTGATCCTCTGGCGACTCACCTCCCTGTTTCACCCGAAGGCGAGCACTCCTCCTGCGAGTATTCAGGTTTCTCCTCTCAGATCTTAGTCTCTGCAGCTCGGGACATGTGGGTGGGTTACTAGACCCAGGGGCCACCTCAGCCTCCCCTGACCAAACCGGCAGTGGACCAGCTGTAAGTAATGGCCCAGCTGAAGGCGACGAGGCCCAGGCTCAGGCCCCTGACTCGGCTCAGCTGGTGTTTGTTGCAGGGGAACCCGCGCAGACTGGGACTCTTCAGGATCAGGCCCCAGCCTTGGTTCAGATGATGCCTGAGTGAGTCTCCCTTGGTTCCGAGTCCGAGCGCCATCATAGTGCCAATGAGTACGCTCATTGGCATGGTAGGATCCCCCCTTCCTTCCAGTCCGCATCTGTGTCTGTGTGTCTGAGAGAGCCGCCAACATCCAAACCAGCAAGGCAGCCTCAAGCTGCTACAGGTGGATGCATTTGTCTACTGAGTTTTGTTGCAAAGCAGGAGACTGTGGAAGCCATTCTGGTTCTAGTCGCATTGTTTTGGTGCTTTGCTTAGTTTTTTGATAGGATTGTCTGAGCTGCCCACTGACCCCTCACATTCCAAACAACTGGCGGATCTGCTAAGGAAGAAACAATGGAGCTGAAAAGAATAATCACTGATACATCAGCCTTAGCTTTGCTCAGACCAATTGTTTACCTCTATGTTCACCTCTGACTCAGGAAAGCGGGGAGGGGACACTGGGAATCTTATGGACTAGAAACCTAATTCTGTGCATGTGCTTGTTCTCCCACTGGTTTCTAAACATTTCCAGTTTTTCCATGTCAGACTTGTGCCTGTTTCTTCTTTTCTGTCCAGACATGCAAGTCTATTCTATATAGGCAGCAGCAGATAGCTATCCCATGTGTCTTACCTCATTCTCTGCTGTTGACCTGAAAGTTACCTTTTCTTCAGCAAAGGAACTTCAGAAGTTTGATTCTATTTGTTTAGGCCTCAATGGAGACAATGGCTTCCTCTCCCACATCAGGAGCTTTAGTTAACCAAGCAAAGCTTAAGAAGGCTGTTGTCATTGCTCATTACTGGTGCTGTAAATGGTTACTTAAATGGCAGACATTTAAGTTTGGCTTAGGGTTGCCACAGACTGGATGATTCCCAGTGCCAGCCAGGTATGTGTTGATTTTATAGCTGCAAAATGTGAGCTGTGTTTATTGTCAGTAATATAGAAGGTGTGGCAGGATTAGATAATATCCAAGTGTGCTTTTTGCAAGGCTTATTCGCATTGGCTCACTGTTAAGATTTAGTTGCATTATCACAGATGACGCTTTGTGTTTCATTGCCATCTGACCTCACTGTTTTCACTTCCTTCCCTCTGCACCCAGGACGCCTCTGTGTGTTTACAACACTTTATGCATCTGATAAAGGGGATTATAGTCCGTGAACGTGTATGACATAATAGACCACTTTACCCTCAAGGCTTCACAACACGCCTTGTTGGTTTTGTTGCAACAGACTAATATGGATACTTCAACTTCCAGAGGAGCTTTCATGCAAAACCGCCTGCTTTGATCTGGCAAATTCAGTTCTTGGAAAGCTTCATTACCTCTGTGATTGTATCAGTGCGAAGGTGACGCCGACCTGCACAAAGCCGGAATAGGAAGATCAGATTTCTGCATGAGAGGGTTTTTGGCTGTGCCTGTTTTCCCTCGTGAAGCTGGGAAAGATTGGTGCTATTTAGGGAAGTGTTCCATGCTGCGTTTCAAACCATCTGTGCTTATTCCTATGTCTCTGGTTATCAGGGGGATAATAAATACAACAAGAATGAATGCTCTTAAGTACAGCCCCATCTGCACTATGTATTTATAGCAGAATCATACCACTTTAAACAGACATGGATTTGCCCCCCCCCCAAAGTATCTTGGTTTCTTAATGGTGCTGAGAGCTGTTAGGAGACCCCTGTTCTCCTCACAAAGCTACAATTCCCAGAGTTCCCTGGGAAGAGGGATTGAGTCTTTAAACCACTCTGGGAACTGTAGATCTGTGAAGGGAATAGGGGTCTCCTAACAAATCTCACCATCCTTAACAAACTACAGTTCCCAGGATTCTTTGGGGTCTGTCCCACTGTATAATACGGAAATTGTTGCAGCCCTTGGCAAATTTGCTCAGTGGCAAAAGATCTGTCACACAGGCATGTAAGTGGCCCTGGGGAAACAAGGGGAAGGAGGTGGAGGTGCCCCCCCGGCTCTGTCCTGTCCACTGCTGGCATCCCCAGCTCTACAGATGACTCTTTAATGGACCTCTTCTTTAGAAAAATCTGCCTTTGGAGGCACCAGTTTCTGCAGGCCTCACCTTGTTTAACCCAAGGTCTAACTATTACCTGAGGCTATGCACTGCTCCAGCTCCGACTGCTTTTTGCAACAGGACAGGGATTGCACAATGCTCCTGCCTCCTCGAACCATCTCCAGCATCTTGCTTCAAGTCCTCTCTGGCCCAGTCTGGATCTCTGAGGGGGTGGAGCAGCCTCCCCGGAAATCGTGGAGCAACAGGACGTGTCAGGGCCCTGTTCCTACGAGGAAACTTTTGGTGATTTGCATCAGCCAAGAATGCTTGATAAGGCCGCTGGAAGGTTTTGCCCTTCTACAATGCCCACGGCACAGACAGCTGCCAAGCCTCTTGACGAGGCTGTTTTAAAGACCCTCTTCCTAGGAAGCTACCTAATACCAGGTCAGGCCATTGGGCCACCCAGGCTGGTTCTGTCCACCCTGACTGGCAGCAGCAGCAGCCCTCCAGGGTTTCACCTGCTGCCAGATTCTTCTAACTGGAAATGTTGTGCATTGAACCTGGGAGCTTCTGCATGCAAAAAAGAGACTCTATTCCAGGCTCAGAATCTGCACCTCGTATGCTGGGGCATTTGCAGGGGCCGGCATATCCTGGCAAGGCCTACTAGGGCTATCCTGCCTGCTGTGACATTCTGCATGCAAAGCAGGGAATGCAAAATCTGCAAATCATTTACTGGTCCACCAGGAGATCCTAGATCTACCTCCTGTCCTCTCCTCCCTTAGCAATGTAGCGAGGCAGATTTAGAGGTGGGACATGTTCCCAGGGGTCCTTGCACCCATACCTTGCAGTGTGGGCTACTTTCACCACTCGAACGCACTGATTCACAAACATTAATAAGTCTGGGCTCACGGCTTGAATTGTGGAGTGACAGGTACGTGGAGGTGTTAATCAAATATTACACAACCCTGCTGCCTCCAGCCTTCTAAAAACAGCAGCCAAGACTGCTGCCTGCTCTCTGCAATCTGAGCACTAACTGAGGTGCACTGTTTTAATGCTAAGCAATGTTCACTTAAAAGATGTGCCTTGGGAAACAATCGCAGTTCCTCCCAATAAAGTTGTTTCAGCTGGAAGAGGTTGATTTGGGGATCTAAACTGCATTGGATTCCTGGTGTTCAACACTGCCCACTCCCCAACTAATGCAGCAATTTTCCCTGATAGGCCACCTATGCCTTTGATAATTGCAACAACAGGCAGAAAACCAGCAGATGCAGCTTTCTCCATCACTCCCAACGCCAGGCAGAAAGTGGCCGTACTCAACCAATGAGAGTCTATCTAGTGAAAATGGCTGAGAAGACTGAGCTGTGAACCAGGGAGCTCCAAATTCAAATCTTACCTTTGCTGAGATAATGAATAGCTGGGATGGGGAACTTGGTGGACTACAACTCCCATCAACCCCTGCTCATTGGCCACGCTAACTAAGGCTGATGGACACTGAAGCCCAATAATTGTTGTTAGGACAAAAGGTCAGAAGACCTACTAGCAAAAGAGAAAGGAATATGTCAGGCAGCTGTGAACACCTGTGTGGCAGGCAGAAATCCAACAGATGCAGCAGTCTCCATCATTATTCAAAACAGCATACCTGTGGGGAAGTGGAGGAAGAGATGCAGCCCTCCAGGTGGAGTTGGGACACTAAACCTCCTCAAGCCAGCGCTGCCCACTGGCCAGGGGTGATGTCCTAGCTAGCAGGCCACAGGTTTCTCACCCCTGCGAGATACACAAACGCTGCTATGAAAGGCACGGTTGTCTCAAGCCAGAGGAGGACCCCTATTTGAGGGGGTGAGTTGTGAATTGAAACCGAGCGGCCCTGCCTCGTTTCCTACCAGGGAAGGGAAGGATCGATGCGCCTCTCCGAGCTGGCAGGAGGCTGGAAGCTTCGGGTTGTCTGTTCCCTTGCAGAGGAAAGGCGAGGGGGCCAAGGCGGCCCTTCCCTTCCCCGCGGCAGCCAAACCTGTTCCTCCTCCTCCTCCTCCTCACCTGCCTTGGGTGTGGTCTGCGCTCAGGTCTGTTTAGTCAGGGAAAGGAGGGCCCCTCCCCGCCTCGGCTTTTTCCGGGTCGGGTTGGCTCGCCTGCATTTGGCCTTTCTGCAGACGGGGTGAGTAGAGGGGCCCTTTGGAAAGAAGAGGGGGGGGAGCAGGATCGGGACCCGGCCTCCTGGCGGAGGGGAAGGTTTGGTTGCCCACCGTGGGGCTGTCTTGCAACCTCCGGCTTGGGCGCGGCTGCCCCAGGCTTGCACTTTGCTCTCTTTTACCAAGGTAGAGAAAAAGAGCATCGTGCGCTCCTTGCGTGTGCGCGCGGCTGTTTCTGAGCAGAGCTGGCAAGCTGAAAGCTCTCCCCTGAAATTAGGGCCGCCTGGGAATTGTTCAGCGAAAAGAGCAGTTCATCTGACCAGGTCCTGGCAGCTCTGTAAGACCCGAATAAGCGTGTTCTTTGTATCTCTCTCTCTCTCTCTCTCTCTCTCTCTCTCTCTCTCTGCAAAAATAAAAAGCAAGCGGGGAGCGCTTCTCCGAGAACTGCTTTAACTCACGAAGCAAAACAAAAACATCAATCATGATGCGCATTAAAAGTGTGGTAGCTTTCTGTGCTTCATCATAGTTTCCCTTTTCTAGAGACCAGCTGCTCCATGCTGGCCCTTATTTCAGATGGGCTTATACAAAAATAGTGTATTTAGGCCTACATGGGGTAAAACCCAGCATTGCCCTGGATTTTGGATGAGCACAATTCTGTCCCTTTATGGGAGGCTGAGGGAGGGACTGTTTCCAGTCTGTGCCACCCCTGGCCGCCTTGTGGGTAACGTGTTGCCTTTGTTGTGCAGACATTTTATTTTCTTTGCCTGATCCATTTGACAGAGATTGGCACTTGTGTGGCTGCTCCTTAGTTACGGTAGGAAAGGGGCATAATTTTGGAGCGGCCGCTGTGAGCAAAGCTGGGATGTGTCCTTCCCATTGGAACTGATCGTGATATGGAAGCAACAACTGGTGTGGTTTCGAATCACTTGTGTGGGATCCAGGCCTCTTTCTAGAGGAAAGCAGTTCCGTTTGGAAGCTGTTATAATTGTGGGGACAAAAAGAGGCAGAAGTAATGAGCAGCTTGAACTTCAGAGCTGAAGTGAAGGCCCCACTGGGCTGTCAGGGCAATGGCATGGAAGGGGGGTATCTCCATCTCTACATCTCAGTGGTGCAAATAGACCCCCTCTATGCCTGTTGTTGGCTGCCACTTAAAATGGCTGCATTCTACTTGATTCTGGAAATGTTAGTCAGGCTGGACTCCTTGACTGCAATAGGTTGCTTGGGACATGTGCCTCCGTTCTCAGATGGTGGGCCATTGTGATGTGCTCCTCTTTGGAATGTGGCTACCTGTGTGTCAGGAAGCACCTATTGGTTAGTGTCTGTGACCTCACTGACAATGAGAAGCCTGCTGGGGTCTTTAGACTCAGCTGGCAAAGACGGATTCAGAAAGGAGCTGGAACTGAAAGGCAAACTGTCCCCTTCTTCTCACATGGAATATGCATCTGCAGTTCAGATTTGAACCGGTTCTGAAACTGAATTATATACAGCTCCACAAAACAACTCCAGAACATTGTGAGTGACAAAAAAAAATCATGTTTTCATAGAAACACAACGGCTTTGCATTATAGATATGCAAGGGTACACACACACACACAGAGAGAGAGAGAGAGAGAGAGAGAGAGTCTGACAGAGGATCTTCAGACTTTACTTTGAGACTTTGGTCCCATTTACACAGTGCTTCTTCAGTGTGTTTTGTGAGTCCCCAATTCATGCAAGATTCCTGCACTGCACGTACACCAGTTGAATCTAATTCCTTTGTCACAATGCAAATAATTGCTTCACTGCTGCTGATAGCTGAAAGAGCAAGACTAGTCAGTTCCCCAGGAGCTGGGGGGTAGGTTTCAGGAACTAATGGTAGCAATTATATAGCTGCCACTCTAGGTGCAGCCATGGAGTCTTTAGACAGGCACTGTTTCTTGCAGGTAATGGCAGCAGTGTTTCTCATAGGGTAGCAGGGAGAAGACTTCTCAGTTTAGGTCTTGAAATAACCCTTCACTAGGCACACTTGCAGCTTCTGCCTGGATATGTTAATTTAGCAAAGAAAATGTGCTTGCATGCCTATTCTTGAAATACTTGTGCATTCCATATGCAAAATGGAATTATGCAAAACCGTGAATTGCAAAATTAGGAAGGAACTTCCTTTTGACATTTTTTTAAATCTGCAAAACAGTCATTTAAATTACAGGAGAGGCTTAATCCCTAAACCACAGTAAGGCAACACTTTTATCAACCCTCCCCCCAAATGTCACAAAGTTGTGTGCAAGCTTTTGAGACTTGTGGGCTCAATGTCAAAACAAAACAAGGCTGGGGATGGAGGGGAAATAGGAATAGAGTGTGATAAGTTAAGGACTGCAACCCTCATTGGCTTCACCTGTTGGATTTGGTGATGGGAGTTGTAGTTCAGCAACATCTGGAGGGCCGCAGGATCCCCATCCCTGAATTGAGGCCTGCAGTTCGCAGCAATTTAAACATCCCTGTTTTTATAGGTTTGACATTGTTGGTTTGTATTGCTTTCGTTTTGGCTGTCACTGCTTGCTGTGGCTCTTAGGAGAATGGATGCTTTTGGAAATAGGGTTTCTGGAATAAGGGGCAATCACTCATTTCTGTGGTCTGAAACAATGGATGGTCTCTTGAAATTGAAAGGTGCCTGCAGATTCACTGGTGTTGTTGAAGAGCTGTTCCTAATTCTGCTTATTATTTTTAAAGGGGTCATCTTTGGGATGATGAGTTCTGCCAAGGTGGGGAATTGGGGTGTTTTCATGCACGTTGTTGACTCACATTTTGAAGACAGTGTTTGGGGTTTTCTGCTTCAGAGCTCTGTGTGTCTTGGGACATACTTTTGGTCTTTCATTCAGTCCTGGTGCAACTTCATTTCAAATACAGTGGTACCTCAGGTTAAGTACTTAATTCTTTCCGGAGGTCCTTACTGAAACTGTTCTTAACCTGAAGCACCACTTTAGCTAATGGGGCCTCCTGCTGCGCTGCCGGAGGCCGATTTCTGTTCTCATCCTAAAGCAAAGTTCTTAACCTGAAGCACTATTTCTGGGTTAGCGGAGTCTGTAACCTGAAGCGTATGTAACCTGAAGTACCACTGTAAAGACTGTTGCACCTTCAGAGGCAATAAGAACTGCTTCTGTGGTTGATGCAACAGTTCTCTGTGTGCAGGTAGTTGTTATCTTGGCCCCTGTAAAGTGGAGACCTTTTTATATCCACAAGCTCTTAAAATCTCTTGTAAGCTTTAAGCAGTTTTGCACTCTGTTACTGTTTTTTATGGTGTGTTTATTTACTTTTATTATTGGATTTTAAGTTACCACTTCTTGCAAACTGCAAACTTTGTTGTAGGGCGGCCTATGTAAATACTATAAATGTAGCTCAGGGCCAGAACACATCCCTTGCATGAGAAAGGTCCCAGGTTCAATGCTTGGAATCTCCTTTTGCAGGTCTGCAAAAGACTTTTATGAACTCTGGAGCGCTATTGTCAGTCATTGTCGACCAGCCTTTCCTAAGCAGCTGCAACCTTGTGTTCTCTGGATGTTGTTGGACTACAGCTCCCATGAGCTCCAGCCAGCATGGCTTAATGGCCAGGGATGATGGGAGTTGTAGTCCAAAACGTTGGAGGGCACCAGGATGAGGAATGCTGGTTTTAAATTACCCGAAGCTCACCAATGCTCATTAATTTGTCTCATCCCTTTTAAAAGTATTCTACTGACCATTGCAATGTTCTGTAGCAGTGAATTCTGTTGCAGTACTAACAATGAACTTTTCTGCAAACCCCACACCTTTTAATACCGTGCTTCTGGTTGAATCCTGAGCCTTTAAAAAAATGTGCTTAAATTTGGGGCTAGAAGTCCCATAATGAGCCCTGGCTCTGAACAGAGCAGATTCCTTGAACTTGCCGAAACTTGTTTGCTTTTCATAATGCTGTCATAATGAGTTAGTAACTGGAGATTTCCAAGGAAGACATTGTTCTGTGACTTGCCAATCAGATTATTGCCTTGGCACCCAATGAATTTGGATGCAGGAGGTGCAGCTACATCCAGCATTCCTTGCAATATTGCTCTTCGTCCTGAGCCGTCCATTAATAAACTATTTGTTTCTGAGATTTATTTCCTGCATCACATTTGTGACAGCTCTAATCTGTTTCCCACTGGCACAAGGTAGGTACCGAGTAGTTAGTGCTTATATGTTCTAAGGCAGGGGTAGTCAACCTAGTGCCCTCCAATTTCTGCTGGACTGAACTCCTATCAGTCCCAGCCAACATGGCCAGGGCTAATGGGACTTGTAGTTCAACAGTATCTGGAGGGCATTGTGTTGGTTACTGCTGTTCAGTGGCTTCTGAATCTGTAGAATTTATGTGAAAGGCCATTACTTTATGTGAAAGGCCATTAACTTCTCTTTGTAGCCATTCCACAATAAGTACATAGCTCCTTCTGCTTCTCTGGTCTGGGTAAAGTGTTTTCCCAGTCCAGCTCCAACATTCTCCCCAGAGTTGCTTTTCAACTCAGTTTCTCAGGTTCCTGGGAGCTTTCCTGGGCCATATTGATGCATGGATCTCTGCAGGTGCACTTATCTTCAACATTTGACCCTTCCTCAGTGAAGCTACTCTTCAGGAGGCACCAGCTGGGGGACCCCCAAGGGAGGTCCCTGAGGAAGGAGGCTCAGAGCCCAGGGATTGGTGGTAGGACACTGTGGAGAGGTCAGAGGGGGACGATGGGGAGGAGGTGCTGGATACTGAAGGGACAACAAGTTTTAGCGAGCAGGAGGAACCTGTGACAGGAAGCAGGCTGAAGCAGATGAGAATCCCTGGAGTCTCCATCTCCTGCTGTGATAAGCTCCTCCACCCACTGGTCTCCAAGAAATAATAAGCAGGATAATGAGGAGACTGGAAGAGAGAACAGAGGTGCGCAGACGCAGTTTGAGACTGCTTGGGAAATTCCTCCAGGAGCCTTGGAAGGGATGGAAGGCAGGGACCTTCAAACTGCTTTATAGAGGCAAGACCTACTGGGATGTGCTGCCGAGTTCTGTGCCATTTCCTTGAGTTAACTTCACTGCCAACAGAGAACCTTGTGCCTTTCGTGCTGACCTGCATCTGACTCCAGCCCTGACCCTGCTGGGAGTAGTTTGTGCATCTTGATAGAGTAGATTCAGGGTCTCCAGCTGTTTTTGGACTACAGTTCCCATCATCCCTGACCGCTGGTCCTGGTAGCTAGAGATGATAGGAGTTATAGTCCAAAATTAGTTGGAGACCCAAGTTTGGGAAACTCTGGAGTAGAGTATGGGTGGGTGGGGGGAGCAGCAGGCCAGAGGTCTTCCAGACCTGTTCAGCTCTTGCTCTCCCCAGCCCATGTTCCTTCGGACCACGCCCCTCACTGTCATTGCTCTGCACCTTCCTCAGACTCTTCTTTGGCTGCAGTTATGCCCCTTACAGCAGAGGCAGGTCTAGCGGAGTGCAACCGGTTTGGTCGCACCAGGCACAGGAATTCTAGGGTGCTGGTGGCGCTGTGGGTTAAACCACAGAGCCTAGGACTTGCCGATCAGAAGCTCGGCGGTTCGAATCCCCGCGACGGGGTGAGCTCCCGCTGCTCAGTCCCTGCTCCTCCCAACCTAACAGTTCGAAAGCATGTCGAAGTGCAAGTAGATAAATAGGTACCGCTCCGGCGGGAAGGTAAATGGCATTTCCATGCGCTTCTCTGGTTCGCCAGAAGTGGCTTAGTCATGCTGGCCACATGACCTGGAAGCTGTATGCCGGCTCCCTGGGCCAATAAAGTGAGATGAGCACCGCAACCCCAGAGTCGTTCACGACTGGATCTAATGGTCAGGGGTACCTTTGCCTTTACAACTATGATGCCCAATGGAAGTCAAGAGATGGAGGGGCTGCTGGATTTTGACGTTGCACAGGGCTCCACTGAAATTTGAGACACCAACGTCTGCCACAGCTTACACGGAAACACTTTTCTCATTCCTGTTATTTATAAATGCTAGTTTAGATATTTGTGCTTGGTGACACTTTTCTGCTGCCATCCATTCCCTTAGAATGTTTTAAAGACTCCTCATAGCCTAGATGTGAGATTGAAATCAACACTGGAGACAGAATGACTAAGGTGGTTTATCAGGGGGATGTTATGTACATAAGGGGACACTGGTTTTTATTTTGGGGGTCTTAAACGTGCTTGGCGACAGTTTCCAAAGGGCTCAAGAGATGTTGCTCACCCAGCTTCCAAGTGGCTTTTTGCCTTCGGTTCCCTAAACATTCAATCCAGTCAAAGTCACTCACAACCCTATTCTGCTACTGGGGATTAGGGCTGGGCAATATATCAATATATTGTCCAAAACCGGTTTGAAGTTCACATTGTGATATTTGTTTCGGAATTTTTGACCTGGCAATATATCACTATTCATGGGGGTTGTTTATGTGTGCTATGCAAAAATCATGATGTGGGAAAAGCCATGAAGCCAGCCAATGTCTCTGCATAGCTCCATCCTTATTTCGGTATCATGATACAGTCGTACCTCGGAAGTTGAACAAAATCCGTTCCAGAAGTCTGTTTGACTTCCAAAATGTTCGAAAACAAAAGTGCGGCTTCTGATTGGCTGCAGAAAACTCCTGCAGTCAATCAAAGGCTGCAAAAGGCCCTTTGGATGTTTGGCTCCCAAAAGAATGTTTGAAAACCGGAACGCTCACTTCCGGTTTTTGATCGTTTGGGAGCTGTAACGTTCGACTTGTAAGGTGTTCGGGAGCTGAAGTATGACTGTATTGCGATGTTTAGCTGATGATATATCATGATGTTGAAAACCAGATATTGCCCAGCCCTACTGGGGACAATCTTCCCCTGACCCCAAAGCCCTTCCTATTGTACTTCTGCCTACATGGACACAGTTTAGCTGTTTCTTAAAGCCCAGTTGCGTAATCTTCTGGTCAGACCTTTTCTCAAGGCTGCCTCTCAGCCTAACACAGCCACCAGCTTCCCTTCTTCTGTTCTTCACCAGCAACAGGTTAATATAAAGGCCTCAGCTATCCACTTGTCCCTCAGCTTTCCCACCCCTCATCAGCTTTAGCAGTTGGTGTTCTTTTTCCCAACTGACAGTTAACTTGCCCGTTCTTCACTGACTAGAACCTCCAGCCAATCACAGCCTGTTATTTCCCAGACCAACCAGAATGAGTTTACCTGATCCAGGTGACTCACTGTCTCTCTCCCTCCTCATAGAAGCTGTCCCCAGACAGGTACTACTAACAGTAACATAGCAGCCCAAGGCCTCAAACGTTTGGTACTTGCACTCTGACATCAACAAGTAGAGGCAGCACCTTTTTGGCTTCTGCAAAACGCTGGATTTGGGCTTTGCTGAAAGTGTTTGCTATGAAGAGGCTGGAACTAATTTTATTAGTGCTCTGTCTCGGCATCACGCAGTTGACTTCAGTTCACGATTTCCAAAAGAATTTGTAAATATTTCTCAGTAAAGTGCCATCCCTTATGTATTTGCTTTACTCTGCTCTCCCTGCCACACGCTGTGAGTGACAGCGTAAATGCCACTAAGGACTAGCAACCATCTGATTAAATGATTCTAATCCTGTAACCATCACCCTGTTCTCCCAACTTACACCTGCTTTTCACAGTTCTGTCTCTTTAAGACAATATCCTTCTTCCTGTCCCTAAGCTTCTGGTGCTGTAGCTTGCTTGACTGCCCTGTTGATCCATAAACACCGGAGTAACTTGTAACTGGAAAACACTTTATATTTACTTATCTCTATCTCTAGCATCAGGTTTTTTGGCCCCTCTGGGCACCCTGGAGGGCTAAAGCAATGCTAAGAATATATGTTCGGTTTGGAATGTTCTGTCCTAATTTTGTTTTCTGATTGGCTTGGGTAACCCTGTAGAGTTCTGAATGCCACTCAAGTACAGACCGGTTTTGCTTGTTGCGCTTCACTCTCTTTCAGTTTTGTCTTGAACACGTTGTGTTGTTTTTTTAAGTAGAGTTGGTTTTTAGAAGACATCTGAAGGCAGCCCTGTTTAGGGAAGCTTTTAATGTTTGACAAATTACTGTATTTAATATTTTGTTGGAAGCCGCCCAGAGTGGCTGGAGAGGCCCAGCCAGATGCGCGGGGTATAAATAATAAATTATTATTATTATTTGGTGTAAAATACACTGTCCCCCCCCCCATCTCTTTTCGACTGGTTGGCAGCTGCTCTCTAGAGTCTTGTGCAAGAAGATTTCCCCATCACCTACTGCCTGGTCTTGAATGCAAAGCATACACTGTATCACTGAGCTAAATAAGGTTGTGTTGCTGGCCAACCCAGCAATGGAATCTGCTAAGAATTTGGGAGTGGGCACATTATCACAGAGGATAGGGCTGTTCCATCTTCACTGTCAGGGGCATAGCAAGGATTTTGGTTGGTGGGGCAAAAAGTTTGTTGAGCTTTTTTTTGGGGGGGGGTTGCCCCCTAAAGCTTCTGCTGGGGTGGAGCAGAGCCTCGGTTAATTGAGTACTTTAAATGCTTTTCAATTTTTTTGTAGATGGGGGGGATCGCCCCCCACCCTGCCCCCTCGGCTACACCCATGGTCAGTTGGGTTCAAGTCCAGCTTTCAAGCTTTTCTTGGCATCAGTTTTGCCATTGTTTAGGGGAGTTTTTAATGTTTGATGTTGTATCGTGTTTTTAATATTCTGTTGGGAGCCGCCCAGAGTGGCTGGGGAAACCCAGCCAGATGGGCGGGGTATTAATAATAATAATAATAATAATAATAATTAATAATAAAATAAAAAATGTGAGAACAAGATGCTGAACTAGATGGGCCTTTGGCCTTCTTAGATTCTTAAAGGTAGGGAGAGGGCTGAGAGATGTTCGCAGGGACTTCCGGGGTGGCACCACCGGCAATGGCGGACTCCCTCTGAACTGGAGGGACTAGCTCCGCGGAAAACGGGTCTTCTCCGCTACGGCGAAGCAGGGACCCACTTAAAAATCACAGGCGGATGAAGCCTGTGACCATGGGACTCGGCGGGCACCTTTAGCGCCCCCAACCCGCTAAGGACCCCACTCACGGGCTCCGTAGTGAAGAGGGGGAAGTGGCGCGGTGCTGTGAGTCAACTGCTACTTCCGTGGAGCGAAGCCGCATAGCTGGTGCCGGAGAGCGCTGCCTTTGTCCTGGGACAATTTGGACTTTAAAATAAGCACCTGTGAGTACTTAGACTTTGAACAATTGGACATCAAATAAGGACTTGCGAGTAGGAAAGAATCGGACTTTAAAAATTTATTTGAATTTGGTACGGAACGGGAAGGTCTAAACAGGAAGTCATTCTTCCGTTCTTTTGTAAACAGAATAAAGCAAAGGCAATTTAAACTAGAGCTCAGAAAATCGCTTTTAAAAGATTGGATTTCACCATTTAAAATTGTGGAACCCCCCTTCGACAGCAGGAGAAGGGGGGGATCTTTTTGGACTGTTTAAAGTGACTTTAAAGTGAAGTAACTTTCCTCCGTCCTGATCCTGGAGCGGGCTGTCAGGACTGACGTGTGAAGTTCATTAACCAAAGACAAGTGTTTTTGACAGATGGCTAAAAGAAGAGAAACCTAGTGATTCCACTGTTCCCTTTCGCATTTTAAAGGATTATATATGGACAAAGTATCTTAAAAAGGAAACTTTGTTGCAAGAATAAATAGAAGTTTTCCCCCTAGGGGGAGTCTGTGAAATTGTAACTGTGAAACTGTAACTAACTCCAGGGAGTCGACAGCTGTTACAGATTACAACCGTGGGAACAAGTATCTGACCTTGTAGGACAATGTATTCAGAAGCCTTGTTGTATGCTCTCTATAAAACAAACGATCTACTGGAACAATTACACGAGAAGGTGAATTGGATGGCGACTTCGACTAGAAATTTTGAACAGGCAGTGGGAAACTTTGAACAGACAGTGGGAAAATATGTGAAGCCCACTCAGGATTTAAATCAGGAGTGTGTCTTGACAGAACAGGCCCAACAGGAATATGGATTTTTGAATTTGACAAATGAACTTGGAAAAAGCCATATCTGGAAAGGAAAAGTTTGGCTTGGTTTGGAAATGGGGGGCTGGATTGACCCCCCTATGCTGGGATGTTTGGACTTTTCAAATATGGCAACGGGCCGTGAGATGTTTGGGACTGTGGGGGCTCTCAATTTTGGAGGGCCTTTGAAACATGCCTTTAAATACTACATGAAATTCATTGTTGAACATGGAAAAGGGGCTGATCTGTTGAGAAGGGTTAAAAACATTGTCAAGCTGGAGTTACCACGAGCAGGAGACAAGAGAAAATACAGTTACAAATATGAAGAAGAGCCGCGGAAGGGTCATGGAAGAGACTTGAGGGCCTCGGACATAAGGTTGCCAGGTTAATGGGCTAGATTGACGGGAATAAGGACTGACAAAACCCGGAACCAGGAGGAAGGGACGCTGGATGAAGATTGGATTTGTTTATACCTCTTTTTTCTACCATTAGAACTGTTTTATAAAATTGATGAATGATAGAAAAATGTTGGAATGAAATTACTTGGTTTTAGCAAAGATGTTTAAAGAATTATGAAAGAATATTATGATTATGAGAAGTTGGTAAGGATAAGATTTAAGTTTTAAGTGTTAAGGTTTATTTTATTATAGGAAGATAAGGTCAAGGATTTGCTGGGATAATTAATAACTAGGATACAAAGAAAGGGAGGAGGAGGAGGTCTAAGAAAGAAGGTAATGACAGCTAAGGATTTGAAAATAATGAATTTGTTTTTAAATGTTTTTAAAGTTTTGTGATTTTTGCATTCTTCTTTTTTTCTTTTTTTCTGTTATTTTTTCTCATTTGGAATTTTTTCTTATATGGTGGGAAGGGGTTGTTTTCCCCCCCTTTTTTCTATTTTGTCAATCATTTTTATTTTTTGTACTTTTTTCTGCTTCTATTTTTTTTTCTCCTTTGTAACATTTTGAAAAACTCAATAAATATCTTTAAAAAAAAAAAAGAGAGAGAGAGATGTTCGCAGGGAAGCTTAATCCATTTGCCGCCTCAGCCTCTGGGAGAAGTGGTGCATGAATGGAACAAATGTTCTTGTGAATGGCATATATATATACAGTTCCATTCTGGTCCCAGGGTATGGCCTCAAAACATGTGAGGCCACCACTCTTGCCGAAGCTAAGCAGGTCTGGGTTGGGTCTGTTCCTGGATGGGAGACTGCTTGAGAAGGAAGTACGTGTACACTGCCTTGGTTTGGGGGGAGAAGGCATGGTGCGGGGAGCCAGGGTATAAATACTGGAAAAACTAGAAAACTAAATGAATTCTCTCCATCTTCTTTCCTCACAAAGCTCTGCTTATCCCTACACACCAATATGAAACCCACCACCATGGAGATCCTGCTGCTTCTCTTGGCTGGTAAAGTTCTCAGAATTGTCCTCTCATCTTCTGCTCCCTTCCCTTCCCCAGCCCCGTGAAGCTGGCACTGAAGCCGGTGCCTGTATCTTAATGCTATTCAGGGCCAATGAGAGCTGTGGGTGGGATGCCCTTCCGCAACCTAACCATGTTAGGCTTCTGCACTGCAAAGGGCAGCTGTGAGTAGGGAACTGAAAGCTGGGGAGCTGTAGTTATGCTATCAAATTACAATAACTCTTTTCATTTTCTTCCGTAGCGTTCCCTGTCCTGGGGGCCAATGATCCTACTGGTGAGTAGCTGTTGGTACCCCATGTTTGTTTTTGGTTATTTTGTATATATTGCTATAGATGTGGCACAGGGGCTCCTTAACAAGGATGGAGAACCTGTAGTCTTTCAAATGTTGGGACTTCCAACACCAGTTGGCATGGCCAATGTTCAGAATGGCTCAGGACCACAATACCTCGAGGACCATTTCTCTCCATAAGAACCAACCCAGACCCTGAGATCATTGTGTTCAAAGAACAGTCAGCAACACACCTGGGTTGTTAGAAGAGGGCTGTTTTGAGGTGTGAATCCTTAGGACAGGATGTTCTAACATCTTTCTTCCTCTCTCTTCAGATCCAAACAGCCCCTTTTATTACGGTAAGTTTGAGTCATTCTTGGCAGCACCGTATAATCCATCCTGAATCTTCTGGCCAAGAGCAATTGTACATAAACAGATGGTGTACTTGTTTACAATAGGAAGGACTTGCCATGTTTCATCTGTCTTGTGTGCAAGAGTGCTAATCGTACAATGGAACACATCCACCCCAGCTCCTTGAAACCCTTAGTCCTATTCTGTATTTATCCCCTGCAACTCCTGATCACAACTACAAGTACTTTTAAATGTTTCTCACTGAGTAGTTCCTTAAGACGACTCTTCCATAACTCCCTGCCTAATAAAAATCACCAGAACATCCCTGATTGGTGGCTATTGAGTGGGTGGGAAAGAGGTGTATAGATTAGTAGGAGAGAATGGAGTGAAGATGCAAGTATCCTAGACAAGACCAAACCTCTCCTCTTTCCTCCTGCAGACTGGTACTCGCTGCGTGTTGGCGGTTTGATCGTTGCTGGTGTACTCTGTTTTCTGGGAATTGTTATCCTGCTGAGTAAGTGAATGCAGAAATTTGTGGGGTGGGAGGGAGGAAGAGTTGGTTTAGAGGCTATTGGCAATTGCTTATACAGTTTGGCTTCGCTCTCCCTTAGGTGCTAAATCTGTGTCTGGGCTACACCACTGCAGTGCAGAGATGTGTGAGCACCACCAATTATCCTTCCATGCAGAAAACTGGCACATTCTATAGAAAGCTAGGCTTAGAACATTTCTGTCATAAGAGGTCTGTTCTGTGTGGAGGAGCATGCAATCCTAGGTGCCTTCACCCTGCAGGATTTTATTCATTTGCAAAAAAAATTACACTGCCCTTCATGCAGATCTCAAGGCAGATCACAACAGCAATGAATTATTATTTAGTTATTATTCATTGAATGCATACCCCAGCCTTCCTCCAAAAGGAGTCCTGGGTGGCAGCATGAAGCGCTTCAGCCGCAGACACCCGATTGATTTATGTATGTTCATTCATGTATATTTTCAGTGCTGCTGTTCAGACAGAATGGTTTCCACTGTGAGTCTGCACCCATAGTAACAGCAACAGTAAAATCATTTTAGAAAATGAAATAGGTATGCTGCTTCAATTTGGGCTCAGCTTTAGAGAGAACCTTATCGCTCACTGTCCAAGTACCCCTGCCGTCGTAACACGATTTTTTTTGACAGATAATGAGTCATGCCCAACTAAGTTAAAATCTGAGTAGACCCATTGAAATGAATGTACCCAAGTTAATCGTATCCTTTAATTTCAGTGTGTCAGCTGTGAGCATGACTAACAATGGATACAACTCAATACGTCTATTATTTTTGTATTTACTTACTGAGAATGGCTTGGGTCCAATATTCTCTGCCTGCTATCACAAGGGCGAGTTCCAACATTGAGCAACAGAGGGATCCAGTGCCATGGATTGCGCAATCTATAGTGCAATGACGTTACCAGCAACCTGCTGTTGCATTTTCTTGTGCAGCATACCGTATTTTTTGCTCTATAGGACTCACTTTTTCCCCTTCAAAAATTAAGGGGAAATGTGTGTGCGTCCTATGGAGCGAATGCAGGCTCCTTGGCTTCAGCGATAGCAACGCGAAGCCTCCGGAACGCAAAGGGAGCGCTCCCTCCGCGCTCCGGAGGCTTCGCGTTGCTTTCACTAAAGCCTGAAGGAGCTCCGTTTCTCCTGCCGCTTCGCTGAAGGGGCGCTGAGCAGAGAGGGGGAGATTTTTTTTTCTTGTTCTCCCCCTCTAAAACAAGGTGCGTCTTATGGTCGGGTGCGTCCTATAGAGTGAAAAGTACGGTAGTTGCTCTGGCATAAAGCATTTCTGTAGTGGAACAAGTACTGTGTACCTTTTAAGTGACTTTAACTGAGCACTACATTGGATGCAACCCATCATCCTCTGGCAGAGTGATTTTTGCTCTTCAAACAGAGCAGCAAATGGATAGTTACTTAATTTATTATTGTCGTATTTTTTACTACCAGGAGAAGCAGTTGTGGAATAACTTGATCAGCCTTGCCTACTGGCAGCCTTAACTTGGAAAGGAGGGGGCACTGTTTTGGGAAGGGGAACACAACATGTCCCATTTTGAGCCAGCTCCATCACACAGAGATAATAATAATAATAAATAAATTTTATTTATATCCCGCCCTCCCCAGCCGAAGCCGGGCTCAGGGTGGCTAACAACAATAAAACAGTACAAAAGTACAGCACAAACAACACTCTAAAATCATTCATTATAAAATTAATTAATTCAAGCCACTGGCAACCATTGGGCCAGAGCTCCGCAAAGATTGCCGAGGGAGGGAGTCAGGCTGTGCCCTGGCCAAAGGCCTGGTGGAACAGCTCTGTCTTGCAGGCCCTGCGGAAAGATGTCAAGTCCCGCAGGGCCCTGGTCTCTTGTGACAGAGTGTTCCACCAGATCGGAGCCACGGCTGAAAAAGCCCTGGCTCTAGTTGAGGCCAGCCTAACCTCTCTGTGGCCTGGGACCTTCAAGATGTTTTTATTTGAAGACCGTAAGTTTCTCTGTGGGGCATACCAGGAGAGGCGGTCCCGTAGGTACGAGGGTCCTAGGCCGTATAGGGCTTTAAAGGTTAAAACCAGCACCTTAAACCTGATCCTGTACTCCACCGGGAGCCAGTGCAGCTGGTATAGCACCGGGTGAATGTGATCTCGCAGCGAAGACCCCGTAAGGAGTCTTGCTGCAGCATTCTGCACCCGCTGGAGTTTCTGGAGCTATCCATATAGTATATGGAGATACCATATATCAGATCAACCATTGGCCTCTGTAGCCTATGGCAGCTTTCTATAACTGGGAGCCCTGGTCTACAACTTCCCCCTGCCCCATACTGGCTGTGGCTGATGGAAGTTGTAGTCGAAAACATCCAAAAGGCAGCCAATTGGGGAAGGCTAGCCTAGAGTCTCTGTGGCTACAGCTCTCCAAATATCTCAGGCCGTGGTCTTCCTTGCCCACCCCTGCTCCCTGAGATGCCAGAGGGCCAAGGCAGGTCTCACTTCCCCGTGCAAACCTTATGCAAGACACCTGCATTTTGTCAGCCGCTGCTGATGGCTAATTTGCCAAATCCTTATGCTGTTTTTCATTCTCTCTTCCCAGGTGGAAAGTGCAAATGCAAACCTAAGAGGAAAAACAGGTATGATGAAATCGCTCCCATAGGTCGTAGGGTAGCAGGAGGGAGATGGCAGGCACTGTGGGTGGCAAATTAATAGGTGGCAAATTTGAAGGGGTGTGATTCTGGAGACAGTAAAGTCCTATTCCCGCAATCTTAAAACTGGAAGGAGGAATGTTGATGATGGTCTGTGGCTTCAACCTTATTAACTTGTCCTCTTCCTTTGTAGTGTCCACACCATGCAAAAGCTCCCGCTTGCAGGTAATTGCTCCTTTGGGGATGGAGAAGTGATGGGGGGCGGGTCTGCTGAAAATGCCTTATTCACTCCTGCTGGGGACAGCAAGGATTAGCATTTCTTGAAGTGGATCGTGGGTGGAATGTGAAGCTGCTGCTACTTCAGCCTGGAAGCCTGACTGGCTTCCATCGCATGCACCAGGCCAATGGAGGACAGGGGTCCCAAATGAAATTTCTAAGCGGGAATAGATTTTGCAGCAGAAAAGAGAACCATGCAAATGCTTGCAGCATCTGGGCATGAAATACCACATGGCCATTACCTCCAGAACTGTCATGCAAAGAATCCCAATCCTGTGTTGCCGGTTAGATAAAAGGGCTGTGTCCTGCCCCTCGTTGGAATCCACCCTGTGAGAAGGGTATTGTGAGGGAGACGATGGGAGAGCTGAGGGGTGCATTTAACTATTTTGCCCTCTGGTGGCAGCTGCAGAGTGCTTGGCTGCAGCATTGCCTGAGCAGGAGGTTTTTTTTGGCTTGCTAAAGATGCCATCAGATCTTTGCCCTGAAGCAAAACCCGAGGTACATTTGCAACGGCTGTGGAAATAATTACCCGTCCATCGCCATACGGTTCCAAAGCGGGTCACAACAATGTAGAATACTACAGTGGTACCTTGGTTCTCAAACTTAATCCGTTCTGGAAGTCCGTTCCAAAACCAAAGCGTTCCAAAACCAAGGCACACTTCCCCATAGAAAGTAATGCAAAATTGATTAATTTGTTCCAGACTTTTAAAAACAACCCCTAAAACAGCAATTTAACATGATTTTTACTATCTAATGAGACCACTGATCCATAAAATGAAAGCAATAAACAATGTACTGCAGTCACACAATCATTCAATCAATCAGTTGCTAAACTGGGTTCCAGAGAGTCACAAAAAAAAAATGAACCGTGAAACAAAAATGCAAAATAAATAGCAAAAACAGACAGACCTCAGCGTAACACTCAAAATGGAAGTGTGGCACTCAAATCGGAAGTGTACTACTCAAAATGGAGCATGTTCGGCCGAAAAAAGTTCACAAACCGGAACACTTACTTCCGGGTTTGCAGTGTTTGGGTTCTAAGTTGTTTGAGTACCAAGGCGTTTGAGAACCAAGGTACCACTGTACATTAAAAACACTATTCGCAGCATTTGTAGATTTTAAAGCAGCCTTTGACTCCATCCCAAGAACTCGACTCTGGGACAAACTCAACAAATCATCCATAGACCGACGTCTGCTGCTACTAATATACGGACTGCACAACTCTGAAACAAGTTACAGTCTGAGCTAGAGGAGGTCCCAAAATATATGTATCTCAAGTGCCAAAGGCAAGGTTGAAGAGATGCCTTCAGCCTACAATGAAGGCTGGATAATGAAGGTGCCAGGCACTCTTCTGTGGGGAGGGAATTCCACAACTTAGGGGCTGCTCTGGAGAATGCCTTCTCATAAGACACACACACACACAAAATTCTGAGGGCCGTGGAATGACCAAGAGGGTCTCCTCTGCTGATCTTAACACCTGAGAGGGTCTGTAGGGAAGGAGGGCGTCTTTTGGATATTTGGGGGCCTAAGTCGTTTGGGGCTTCAAACACTACAATGAACACAGTGAATTGGGCACAGAAGTGAACTGGTAACCAGTTACAAGGGTTGTATTCACACACACACACACACACACACACACACACACACACAACTAAAGTGAAACTTGGAGGTTCTTTGTGAGGCAAAACATTGAAGAACTTTTGAGGGAAGTGTGTTAATAACACCAGTAAAAATGGTGTGTGTGTGTGTGTGTGTGTGTGTTCATGTGCACATTTTGTTCAGCACAGGTTTTGGCAAAGGAAGGTAGACAGTTCTGAATTCTGTTTTGGCAAGAGAAGGTATCTTAAATATGCTGTGCTATCTAGTTCTCCCTCTGACTATCTCTCCTGTAGGAGAAACCAGTGAATGCTGAGTGAAGATAATGACTGCTCCCACTAACATACCAGCCATACCTGACTCCTCTCTCAATTGATGTAACACACTGGATTTTTCAATGGTTTTTTTGGGCTCTCACACCTGTATTAGGTTTTGTTTTGTTGGTTTTTTTTAAAAAAGAGACACATAATAAAATTCTGGTGTTTTTCCTGAAATGGATGATTCTGGTTTAAGGCAGCAGTGAGGGTCCTCTCTCTCTCTCTCCCTCTCCCTCTCTCTCTCCCTCTCCTCCCCTCTCTCTCTCTCTCTCTCTCTCTCTCTCCCCCTTGGGACAATTTCCAGGCCACCTGCTCCCCCAAGGCCACCCCCCGGCCTTTCCTCACATCCACCTTGTGTGCTTTTGCCTGGCTGGAATATGTCCTTGAACTTGAACAATGCCTCTTGCCAGCCTGGAGGGAGGACAAAAAGAAGTGTATGAAACAAGTCTACTGTACAAAAAAATTGTGTCCATGTTTATCCTTGCATGTTTATCCTTGCATGTTTCCTTATCCATGTTTATTTTTTGCACTTGGGCAAAAAAAATGAGAGGCACAAATACAAGATGGGTGACACCTGGCTTGAGAGCAGTACATGTGAAAAGGATCTAGGAGTCTTGGTTGACCACAAACTTGACATGAGCCAACAGTGTGATGCGGCAGCTAAAAAGCCAATGCAATTCTGGGCTGCATCAATAGGAGTATAGTATCTAGATCAAGGGAAGTAATAGTGCCACTGTATTCTGCTCTGGTCAGACCTCACCTGGAGTACTGTGTCCAGTTCTGGGCACCACAGTTCAAGAAGGACACTGACAAACTGGAACGTGTCCAGAGGAGGGCAACCAAAATGGTCAAAGGCCTGAAAACGATGCCTTATGAGGAACGGCTAAGGGAGCTGGGCATGTTTAGCCTGGAGAAGAGGAGGTTAAGGGGTGATATGATAGCCATGTTCAAATATATAAAAGGATGTCACATAGAGGAGGGAGAAAGGTTGTTTTCTGCTGCTCCAGAGAAGCGGACACGGAGCAATGGATCCAAACTACAAGAAAGAAAATTCCACCTAAACATTAGGAAGAACTTCCTGACAGTAAGAGCTGTTTGACAGTGGAATTTGCTGCCAAGGAGTGTGGTGGAGTCTCCTTCTTTGGAGGTCTTTAAGCAGAGGCTTGACAACCATATGTCAGGAGTGCTCTGATGGTGTTTCCTGCTTGGCAGGGGGTTGGACTCGATGGCCCTTGTGGTCTCTTCCAACTCTATGATTCTATGATTCTATCCTTGGTCCCATGTGACATGTGATCCTTGGAAGGCTGCCCAAATGGGGATATGGTGGCCCTCAGGTTGAATTAAGGCCCAGTCACAAGGCGGCATGTCCAGAGACCAGAAGCACACTACTGAAGTTTAGCTGTTGTCATTACACCATGAGAGAGGGGAAGCCCAGTCTTCAAAAGTTGGTGCCTTTGCTGTAGAAATTCCCACCAATTTAGTCAGCGTGTGAGGATGTTGCATGTAGGACATGAGACTGGAGGGAGGCTTGTGTTTTGCAGGAAGCATGGGCCATTTCCAAGAGAGTGCTATCCCATGTTCTAAGACAGGAATGGGGAACCTATGGGCCTTCAGCTGTTGTTGGGACTCACAACTCCTGTACGGATTCAGACCATTGGTTCAGCTAGGCTGGCAGTGTCTATGCTCAGCAGCTGTCCAGGGTTTCAGACACAGTCTTTCTCCCAGTCCTACCTAGAGATGACAGCGATTGAACCTGTGACCTTCAACATGCAAAGCAGATGCTCAGCCACAGCCCTTCCCTAAGTTGGAAGGATCACATCTGTAGGGCCTCACCCTGTTTTAGTGTCTTCCACGGAGCCTGGAAGCTGAAATCATTTCTGGGTTACACAATTCACAATTTTGCGGATTTGTAGTTCATCACCCAAGGCACTGTGTCTCTTAGTGGCAGCCCAATGGCACCTCTGGAATTTACTTCCTTGCGATCTCCACTAGACTTGCTGTCTGTGGACACTTTTGTTCCAAACACTTTTGTTTCTTAATTGCAAGGCATTTCTTGAACAATTTTCTGCTGGCTGAATGTTTACAGCTGATGCGCTTCCAAATGTTGCTAACTGCAATGTACTCTGGCTTAATTGCTTTGAGCTGTAAGCCGCTTTGGGAGGGTTTTGTCCTAAAAGGCAAGATATAGCTATCCAGAAATGAAGTGAATAATAATAAAGCATGTTGTACAGAGCAAACTCTCCTTTATATTGCTGCCTGTATGCATGCGAGGCTACGAGGAAGATCCCAGTAGAAGGAAAAGCAATGCTAACATCACAGGATCCAGACTTCATATTTTTGTATAGTAGATCTCTGCTGCTTTCTCTTCATTTGACAATTTATAGATGTGTCTCTGCGGTTCTTAAATCCCTGAATACGAAGGCTTGGGAAGCAGGTGTATTCCTGCAAAACATTAAAACCAGAGGCACTAGGAAGATGGCCTCAAATGGATCTTGCACAAGTAAAAGAAGTGGTGCTGTCAGCAAGTTTGGCATGCCTTGTGGATGGATTCTCTGTCCAGTTTGGTCAAGGCGTGTGTGATGAAACTGCAGATTTGTGAAGCTGGGAATTACGTAACCGAGATTGCAATTTTTATCTTTGTCCACCTTGAGGTATCAACTGCTCCGTGAACTTTAATCACGATAATAAACGCAAATGTCTGCTGGAAATGTCTTCCTGTTTCAGAATTGGTTTTAGCTTTGTACATCCTCCAGCCAACATGGCGACTTCTGGATGTTGCTGAACTGCAACTCCCATCAGCCCCAGGGAGCCTATCCATAGCCAGGAATTACGTGAGTCGTAGTCCGCAGCATGGGGAGGGCCAAAGGTTTCTCATGCCTGCTGTATCCATTTAGCCACTGCCAGTGGTTAGGGATCATGACTGGACAGTGTTTTTGTGCTCACGTCCTGCTGGAAACCAATGCATTTTGCTGGCCACTTTGGGAACACAATATTGGGATTAGGTGGGCCTTTGGCCTGGTCCTGCAGGGCTCTCATGTTCTTGAACTTGCAGGAAGTTTCCTGGAAAACGCAACGGTGGCAACACAGCAGTGCACTCTCTTCAGAGTAACTTCTCCCCTTCTCCCCCCATGGAGTCTAGGTAAAGGGTAAAGGGACCCCTGACCATTAGGTCCAGTCATGACCGACTCTGGGGTTGTGGCGCTCATCTCGCTTTATTGGCTGAGGGAGCCGACATACAGCTTCCGGGTCATGTGGCCAGCATGACTAAGTCGCTTCTGGCAAACCAGAGCAGCACACAGAAAAGCCGTTTACCTTCCCGCCAGAGCGGTACCTATTTATCTGCTTGCACTTTGACGTGCTTTCGATCTGCTAGGTTGGCAGGAGCAGGGACCGAGCAACGGGAGTTCACCCCATCGTGGGGATTCGAACCGCCGACCTTCTGATCAGCAAGTCCTAGGCTCTGTGGTTTAACCCACAGCGCCATCCAAGTCCCTGACCCCATGGAGTCTAGCATGCAACAAACCTGGCAGCACAGTACGGTTGTGCCTGGGCACACACACCCCCTCCTTGATATGATTATTGGCACAACCCACCTGTTGTTGCAGTTGGGAAGAAGGCGCACAGCAATCAATACTACTCATGAGCCCACGAACAATATACTATTTTTATTATTATTTACATTGGTCGCATGTTGTGGGACCCCCACGTCATGAATGGGAGACAGAAGAAGAAGGCGGTCTGCCTCTGTCAGAGAAACAGCCTCTGCCCAGGTGATGCCAGCTCAATATCCTCATGATTCCAGTAAGAGCATGTACTCCTTGCAGCCCAGTGCTGCCCACTACTGGAAGAAGGTTGATGGATTTGAACAACATGCTGGTTATTTACAGGTAAAAGGATAAATGCTGTACTTAAGATGCATGGCAGATCTCCCTGGAGCCTTTCTCAGTTCTGTAGTCTCCTTTCCTCACCCTGTGCCCCCTTGGTTTTCTCCCCCTGACCCACATCAAAAGGAGCAGGGGTACCTCATGTGCTTGAAAGCTAAGCTTGTGCTTTAGTTGTGCTTTAAGAACCAGACACTGTGTCGTGCCTAAAAATATTCAAAAAAACATAAGACTGAAAACGGCCATTAAAAACGCATTTGATGCAACCCAGCGGTCAATAATTGCAGGTGTCTCATTGAATGCCATTGACACTTGCTTCCATAGAACCATACATGGAATTCTTCAGTTTTGTCTCAATGGAAACCTAGAATGGGACTTTGCAGCGGCCGATTAAATGTCACGGATTTCAATGACATAGCGCGATCCTAGACCCAGGTGTAGGTCCCATTGAGTTCCACGGGTCATGCTCCCAGATCAGTGGGTATAGGGTTACACCTTACCTTTTGCTGGATTGCACAAATTTTATTTAGAAAACAACAACCATGCACTTGAAAAGGAGGGGAAATAATTTGTAGTAAAAACAACAAGCGAGCAGAGAAAATAAGCACAGGGTAACGGTTTGCACTGAACCCTTTTTAAAAAAGACAATAAAAGTTGACTTGGGGAGGGAAAACACAAGCCTTCATCCACGTTAGTGTGAGGAGGAATGGTATTTAAATGGAGAGCATTCATGCTTTAAGCGGGGGGGGGGGGGGACGACCGGGAACAAAATTCGGATTGATTTTAAGCAAGGTTTGCCTCTCCAAATCTGCACACCCCCATCTGTGAAGATGCTCAGTTTAGCCCCACTGCAAAGCATTGTGGGTTTTTGGTCCTGCAATCTCCAACATCCTTTGTTCTAGCGGTTGTTTTGTTGTTTAAAGCATTCTGTGGACTGTTCCTGTTGCCATTACTTTCACGTGCTAGTGAATTGTGGCTGTTCAGTTTGCCTGCCTTCCACCCACTGGCTAGCTGTTACCCAGTCCTCTCCACCCTTCTCTGCCGCTGGAGAATTGCACTCTCAGCAGCGTCTTGCTTCCCGTCCTGCCTTCCTAGTAGTTGCCTCTGGCACTGCACTTCCTCCAGGGGCTGGCTCCTCTCCTGCCCTTCCTCTCCCCATGGTGGCTGCCTCTTCTCCTTGACACCCCCAACCCCACCACCGCCAGGCTCAGGCACTCTGATCGTTGATGACATGCCGGTAGATATGCGTTTGGCCCTTGAAGCTGGAGGCGATGAGGAAGTCCTGGTTGTCGATGCTGAGGTGGGCGAAGGAGCGCGGGGCCTGGGTGCTCAGCTCCTGGAAGTGCTGGAAGAGCCCTGTGACGGGGTCATAGAGGTACACTTTACTGAAGGAGTAGTCGTTGCCTAGGAAGGCGTAGCGGTAACCGGCGATGCTCAGCGGCTGGAAGACCATGGAGCCGCGGGAAGGCATCTGCTGGACATCTCGGAACATGGAGCCGTCCCAGTGCATCACCTGCGGGTGGCAGAGAGGAACGTGAGCTCAGGTGGCCTTGGAAAGATGGAGACTCCAGCAAAGTGCAACACAGGGTTGGATATGCTCGAACTCGGCCCAGAATACCTCAAGGAGCATCTCCACCCCCATTGTTCAGCCCGGACATTGAGGTCCAGTTCCAAGGGCCTTCTGGCGGTTCCCTCCCTGCGAGAAGCGAGGTTACAGGGAACCAGGCAGAGGGCCTTCTTAGTAGTGGCCACCACCCTGTGGAACGCTCTCCCATCAGATGTCAAGGAAATAAACAACTATCTGACTTTTAGAAGACATCTGAAGGCAGCCCTATTTAGGGAAGCTTTTAATGTTTGATGTTTTATTCTATTTTTAATATTTTGTTGGGAGCTGCACAGAGTGACTGGGGAAACCCAGCCAGATTAGTGGAGTATAAATAAAACAACAACAACAACAACATTAATGATATAATATTATCATATCCTACTTCTAATTGAGCCAAGAACTGGGTGATTGATGTACTTAAAAAGACCTGTGACCAGGACAGGATAACAAATTCATTCATTTCTTACCAGTCACTAGAATTTGGGCAGTCCCACGTAGGGAACTAATGGGTTTGGGGCTGATAAGCCATGGTTTATTGGGTCAAGGGTAGGCCTTGTGCCAGGGTAGCTCCTTATTCCCTCACATAAACAACCGCTCTTTGCCCTTTTCTGTATAAAGCACAACAGGTGCTTGAAGATGCTGCTATATCATAGTCTCCATTCTAAACACACTCAGTTTCTTCAACACAGGACCATCTTCACTGCCCTCCTCTGAACCGCAACCAATTTGTCTGCTACTTTCTTAATGTGCAGCACCCAGAAATGGGCACTTTACACCAGATGAGGTCTGGTTAATGTGGAATAAGTGGCATTTCTTTGCCGTGGCTTGGAAACTGTGGTCCTACTAATGCAGCCTAATGTGTCTGAAAGCAGACCAGGAGCACTCCATATCTACTTCCCTGCTCAGGGCTTCCTTTACCTCTAGGCTGCCAGGTTCAACACCCACCACACCTCAACATTCAGAAACAGGCGGTGCTGTAAATGAGAGTGGACTAAGGGCAGTTTCAACACCTTCTCACGGAGCATAAGCACATTCCCCCACTGCAGGGTTGAAGAAACCCTGGCCCTCTAGACCAGTATTACCCAAACTCGGGTCTCCAGCTGTTTTAGGACCACAATTCCCATCATCCCTGACCATGGGCCCTGTTAGCTAGGGATGATGGGAGTTGTAGTCCAACAACAGCTTGGGAGATCCAAGGTTGGGAAACCCTACTCTAGGCATTGTTCAACTACAACCGCCATTGCCCACGCTTGCTGGGGCTGATGGGAACTGTAGCTGTAGCAACATCTGGAAGGCCAAAGATTCCCCACACCTGTCCTACTGAGAAGCAAATTGGGACTTAGTGACAATTCCACCAGCCTCACCTTGGAGTCACCAAGGAATCGGGTCAGGCAAACGTAGACATCCTCCTTGACTTTGAAGTGCTTGACGGCATAGACATCGTCCATGTCAGGGATGTCCGTGCGGCGGACAAACTGCTGCTTATTCCACTGGTAGACGACAGGGCGCTGAGAGCTGCTGGCCAAGATGAGGTGGGGTTTGCCAGCAATCTCCAGGAACTCGGCATCTGTGTCGCGATACCAGGGGTGCAGAGACTGATGCGAGTAGAAGCCATGCCCGTTCCAGCGATACAGCGTAGTGGAGCCGGCCTTGGAGCTGTCGGCCATGATGAAATACCAGTCTCCCTCCACGCGGAAGACCTCAATGTCGTTGGGCTTGCGGATGCGGGAGCCGTCGATGGCCTGCATGTGTACAAAGCCCCCCGCCGCCGCTTCATGCCGCTTGTAGATGTGCGAGCCTCCGAACAGCTGAGCCACTACCACAAAGAGGTGGCCGTCGATCACCAGGGGTTTGCAGACCACCGTGGACGAGCCTAGGAAGTGGAGACGGTGTGGAGAGAACGAATGGTGACCTGCTCCTTTGCGTGATGTTAGAGAGGCTACAGTTGAAAGAAACAGCAGCTATGGAGAAGGCCCAATAGAACACAGACAAAATGGCGGACGGGTGGGCAAGTGTTCAGTGTCATACTACAGAGACATGGCTTCCGTAAGAAGGGAAACATGAATGATCTTTAGGGCTGGACGATATCTGGTTTTCAACATCGCAATATATTGCCAGCTAAACATCATGATATATCTATCATCTATCTATCTATCATCTATCTATCTATCTATCTATCTATCTATCTATATCTATCTATCACGATGTCTGAAATAAGGATGGAGCTATGTAAAGGCATTGGGCTGGCTTCACGGTTTCCCCCCGCATTGCGATTTTTGCATGGTGCGCACACACAAACATCACAATTCGCGATATATTGCCAGGTCAAAAATTATGACGCCTATGTCACAATACGGACCTCAAACTGGATGATATATTGATATAACGCCCAGCCCTAATGATCTTATTGGTTTCTTAGAGGATAAAAACACAAGTGCCATAGAACACAAGTAGGGAACGTACATTCCCCCAGAGGTTGCTGGGCTGCAACTCCCACCATGTCTGACCATTGGCCATGCAGGCAGGGGCTTATGGGAATTGGAGTCCAACAGTGTCTGGGTGTGTGTGTGTAGGGGTTCGCCATCCCTGGCCTCACACCTCAAACCCCAGCCAGCCTATTTAACACTAGCAGCTACATTAGAGGAGGGACACCTGGGACACAATGAGCCTTCCTACAGACATTAACTCTCAAGCTTTCTCCCACACTCATGTATTGTTGCTGACCTTGCCCACTAATAAGGAGCATAGAAAACCGCTTTTACTTTCTGACCATCTAGCCCAGTATTGTCTGCAAGGATTGACAGAAGCTCCCCAGGGATTCGGGCAAGGGAACCTTCCCAGCCCTACCTGGAGATGCTGGGGATTGAACCAGGGACCTTCGGCATGTAAAGCCAACACCCTACCACTGGGCTAAAGCTCTTCTGCTTCCCAGGATGTAAGACAGGGTCTCTAATAGAGTCAGGAGAGGAAGTGGGTGCATAGCTCACCGTTAATGCTGGCATAGGTGCGGAATTTCCCGGCCACGTGGTCCCACTCCAAGAAGCTGCAGCGGCCAGTGAAGGGCTGGGCAATGACCAAGTTCTGTTCCTTGTTGTTCATGAAGGTTTCCACTGAGAGCGACTGCTCAGGTAGCGTGTCAAAGAGAACAAGGTCTGCAGGAAAGAGGGTGGAGGTTAGAACTAGAACAGGAAAGGACCTCCTCCGCTTCTGTTTGCTTCAACTGTCCTAAGTGAGGGAAACTCAGTTGGCTGAAACACTATTAATCAATAAGGGCATGTTCCCCAGGCTTGCCTTAAACACCCACCCACATCACAGACTCTTTGTATTTATTTACAGTACTGCTTTTAAACCCTCAGGCACACCTTTCTTTATCTGCCTCTCAGAACTCTCTCTAATCAACTTTTAAAGCCATCTAGAGCCATGGCCACCACATCTCATGGTGGCAAATCCCACCAGGTGACAAAAGTGTTTCCTTTGGTCTGCCCTGCACTGAGGCCCTAAAAAATTCAATTGGACAATCCCAACTTCTGGTGCAGGGTTTCTCAAACATGGGTCTCCAGCTGTTTTTGGACTACAACTCCCATCATCCCAAGCTAACAGGACCAGTGGCCAGGAATGATGGGAACTGTAATCCAAAAACAGCTGTTCTAGTGATCTGAAAGGAGAAAAGCTTCTCTTCTATCCTCTTTCCCCCTACACCATGCATAATCCTGATCATGTTTGTCACCCACGACAGCCATGAAGAACCTAAGAACATAAAAGTACTCATCCTAGATCAGACCAAAAGGCTTATCTCAGGGGTGAGAAACCTGTGACTCTCCAGATGATCCTGGACTACAAATCCCATCATCCCTAACCACTGGCCATCCTGGCTGGGCTGACAGGAGTTGGAGTCCACTAGCATCATGAGGTTCAAACCCCTCAAGTATTTGAGTCCAGTATCCCAAACCAGATACCATTAAGAATCCCACAAGCAGGGAAGCTGAAGGCAAGGCTGAAACCAAACAACAACAATAACATTAATACCTCACCCATTTGACTGGGTGGCTTCCAGCAAAATATAAAATATAAAGTAAAAATAAAATAATAAATAATATAATGTCAAACATTAAAAACTTCCTGATACAGGGCTGCCTTCAGATGTCTTCTAAAAGATGTGTAGTTCTTCATCTCCTTGACATCTGATGGGCAGGCAACCTGACTCCTCAATCAGCAAACACCTGCTATATGTGAAAACCATTGGTGCCAACTGCCTGGGGCCCTGGGTGCCCAAGCACCCATAAAATTCCCCATGAAGGTGCCAGGCACCCACAAATTTCAGTGCCAGGGCCATGCACGATCAATGGCCCCGGGTCCCCACGGTCGTGGAGCCAAGCTGGCACTCCTGGTGAAAACAATGACAGGAGAGTGGCAGAAGAAAACAGACTGGAGGGGCTGGAATAAGAGGACAGGGAATCCCAAAAGAACTGTAGCAGGTGGGGGTTCTTGTTTATTTTGCGTGTTTATATACTGCTTTGCATCAGACAAGACCCAAAAGTGGTTTACAAAATCAGTGGCGGAGCAAGCTGATTGGGCACCTGGGGTGGTACACGTGCCCTGGGCCCAGGGGCGGGGCCAGCCGGGGCAGGACACTCTGGAGTCTGCCTGCCTCCTCCCACTCAGCTGCCCTACAGCTGAGGGGAAGGCGGCGAGCGAACCGTTTGGGGCAGCGCGGAGCCTGCGGGCGCCCGAGCCACCGCGTCACTCCCAGGAGAGGTGCATGGCTCCGGTACGCTGCAGTGCCGCCCAGCATTTGTCACCCCCCTCAGTGGTGACACCTTGGCTGGCCCGCCCCCACCGCGCCCCCTTCCTCCACCTCTGTACAAAATGTCTCGGGCCGTCCTTGAGTGAAGGTGGTAGTGGGGACCCTCTTCCGGGTGGGGGAAGCGCAGGGGAGAAAGCGACGACCTACCTGTGGTGATGCAGTTGAAGCCTGCAGGGCGGAGGTCGCTGATTTTGGTGCGGTTCAGCTCCGGCGGCGACCGGCACTCCATGGGCTCCACCTGGGCGTTGGTCTCGCCCAGCCACTCCACCAGCCATTTGAGTTTGCAGTCGCAGTGGAAAGCATTTCCCCGCAAGTCCCTGCCAGGAGAGAAGCCAGTTTGGGACCAGCACTAGGCTGCGGACAGCCAAAATGTGGACCTAGGCCCAGCCAGTGTTATCATTATTAGATTAGATTCCTGCATTGCTGGGGGTTGGACTAGATGACCCTCAGGGTCCCTTCCAATTCTACAATTCTATGGAGTTTCAGTTCAAAAGCTTCTGAAGGGCACCATGTTGGCTATCCCTTCCCTCTTCCCTTGTCCCACCCCAGCCTTGTTCCCTCCCCTCTTACACAAAAAAAGTCAACTTTTGCATCCTTTTGTAATTAGGTTAGGATGGTGAACATAACTTGGGGTGGCACTGTTTTGAAAACTGTCGCTGCTTCAGCAACTGTGCCCACAATTAGCCGAGCAAATTAATCTCCACCCACATGGAGCTTGTGACATTCGGTCCTCCCCTTTGGCTTTCCTTGGCAAGAGACTCCAGTGTGCTTTTGACTGCACTCCTTGCCACCAGGGGAGAGGTAACTGAATCACTATGGGCACTTAGAATCCAAGAATTTTAGAGTTAGAAGGGATTCCACCCTCTGCAATGCAGGAATCTCCACTGAAGCATCTGTGACAGATGGCGATCCAACCTCTGCTTAAAAACCTCCAAGGAAGGAGACTCCACAACCTCCTGAGGAAGACCGTCCCACTGTCAAACAGCTCGCGCTATCAGAAAGTTCTTCCTAATGTTTAGCCAGAATCTCCTTTCTTGTATTTTGAAGCCACTGTTCCGAGTGCCACCTCCAGAGCAGGAGAAAACAAGCTTATTCCATCTTCCATATGACAGCCCTTGATGTATCTGAAGAAGCCTATCGTATTTCCTCTTATCCAGACTAAACATACCCAGCTCCTTCGACCATTCCTCATAAGGCTTGGTTTCCAGACTCTTGATCTTCTTGGTCACCCTCCTCTGCATACATTCCAGCTTGTCAATATCCTTTTTAAACTGTGGCGCCCAGAACTGGACACAATACTCCAGGTGTGGCAGAATATGACTTCCCTATACTTCTGATGATGAAGCCTAATATAGCATTAGGGGTTTTGTTTCGTTTTGTTTTTTGCTGCTGCATCACACTGTCGACTCATGTTAAGCTGTTAGACAACGTTAGCTATTTCAAGAGCATTCCTTCTGACTTGTTTGTGAGGAGGTTAGATGAACTTGTGCCAAAGCAAATATCGTCCTGTGCTTTCTCATGCATTCCCCCCTCACTTTTATTATGGCAAGACGTCTGATCTTTTGAGGGAAGGGGGTTAATAGCGCAAGACCACCCAACCAACTCTAATGGTGGCAACCTGACTTTGCCAGGAAACAACTGAATCCCACCCAAAATTAGTGCCTGCCTGGAAGTGCCCCACATCCCCCATGTACTCCACACCCACAACCCTCCCCCCCGCCTTAGCCCCACACTCACACTGAAGTCAAAGCATCTAAGCCCTGGAACAGGTTCCTTGGTAAGGTCTGCAGGTTATTGTTAGCCAAATTCCTGTGGGCAAGAAGAAGAAGAAGAGTTTGGATTTGATACCCCACTTTATCACTACCCTAAGGAGTCTCAAAGCGGCTAACAATCTCCTTTCCCTTCTTCCCCCACAACAAACACTCTGTGAGGTGAGTGAGGCTGAGAGACTTCAGAGAAGTGTGACTAGCCCAAGGCCACCCAGCAGCTGCATGTGGAGGAGCGGGGAAGCGAACCCGGTTCACCAGATTACAAGTCCACTGCTCTTAACCACTACACCACACTGGCAGGGAAAGCACTTAGAAGGAAGGCAACGTACACATCCTCAGTTTGCGGGGCTGGGAAGGCGAACATTGCAGTGGAAGTGAAGGAAACACAGTTTAAATAAAGGGGATATGTATTAGGAACCAACAGGGTCTGCAAAAGACGCTTTGCTACTGGTCAGGAATGATGGGAGTAGGATTTGGGGGTGTTGGGAGCAGTGAGGGATGATGAGAACGGTCTGGGAATGCTGGAAGCTGGAATCCAACATCATATGGAAATCCGGTGTTTGGGGAAAATGCAAGGAAGTGTAAGGTAGAGAGAAGGAGAGGACAAGTATGGAGATGTGGGGTGGCTGGATGCCATGTTGGGAAGTGAAATTGTTTGGGTCTGTGTTAAGGGCTAGACTGGAATTAGGAGTGGGTCAAAAAAATCACTCACAGGTAGAGGAGGTTCTTGAGACCTCGGAAGGCGTTCTTAGAGATTGCTTCAAGCCTGTTTTGCTCAATGAACCTACAAGTGGAAAGAACAATTAAGTCACAAATCAGGACGACAGCGATGGAGGGACAACTAAAGGGGAAACAAGGTAGCCAGCCTCAGAAGTTTAATGGTGATATTCATGGCTTCAAGGGATGGAGCAGGGATGCGGGGCAAAAGGGGTTAGAAGCTTGAAATGGCGAGACTTATCTATTAAAACTATATGTGTTGGATCCAGGCACAGTGGCTCATACCTTCCTGTCTCACCTCTCTCACACTCTGAATTCCTTTCTTGCTTTTGGATTAGTGGCAAACCATAGTTTAGTGGCCTGAACCAGACCAATCCATGGTTGGTGTAAGCCACAGTTTTCCTACAAACCACAGTTTTGGACCAGGTTTGCATTCCTGTTTTGTTGAATTCGTGGTTTGCCCAGACCACAGGTTGCCCAGTTCAGATGTAACAGCAAACTGTGGATTGCTGCTACACCAGAAGGAAACCAGAGAGTGTGAGGAGGAGTGTGGAAGGTGTAGCAAATGTGTGAGCACAGAGGCTCATTTACATGATTCTTGGTACCGCATCTGGTTTGGTGCCACATCTGAACTAGCCGAAAGAGGTTGCAAACCTATCTTTCACCATTCTTATTATTCTTATTAGTTATTATTATATTAAGTTTCTATACCACCCTTAATCCAAAGATCACAGGGCATTTTACAATATAAAAACACATAAATACATACCATAACAACAAACAAAACCAATATCCCACACCCCAGTTTAAAAGGCCATATAGATTGTTTAATTAGCCTATTATTATTTATGTAAATGTGCATAATTTCTATTAATTTATTAAATCAGACCATTATGCACATTTAAAACAGCATGTTTTCCTTTCAAAAAATTCACCAATGTGGTCTATGGAAGTGTACTTAAACTTAAGCGAAGATTAAGTAAAAAAATTAAAGCCTAGGAGATTAGTCAACTAGGGAGATCTTTAATAAGTTGCCTGTCCTCTTTCAATATGGATTCACCTCCTAAAGTGACTCAACCTTGCCCCAAATATCCATCCCAACCCCTTACCCTCCTGGGTCATTTATGCCTCACCCCACCCCACCCCCAATGCGCATGGCTGCCCCCAACCCTCCCCTGACGCCCCCCCTTGCACACTCACAAGTACTCCAGGTGTATGAGTCCCACAAAGGCGTCGTCCCCGATCAGTTCCAGGGAGTTGTAAGTGATCAAGCTAGGGGTTGGGGGATTGGGGGAAGAAGCAGGCAGGTCAGACACTGGGGCATACGACGGGGATGGTAACCAAGTCTGGGATGGAAGACAGGGAGCAGGGCTTGCATCCCAAATCGCTGCATCTTGCATCAAGGTGCCCTCTAGGTTTGGGAGGGCATGGTAACAAGGCTTACTGTCGCTACCGTCCAAAAGAGTTAAAACACACTCACAATCTGGTGTTCCTATGGTGGGCGAAAGAGGACTCAGTGGGGAGCTATCTCACTAGTACCAATACCTTGGTCTACTCGCAGCTGGAAGGTCATCAGGAAGGAAACGGCCCTGCCAATCACCCCTTAGCTGTAATGGAGAGATCTAGTGGGGTGCCCAGATAGTTATGCCAGAGCATCCTGCACCAGCCCCACCCTTGTTCTTGTCATTAGCTAGAGCTCAGCACATGGGCATAGCCAGGATTTTTGTTGGGGGGGGCAGGACTTTTGTTGGGGGGGCAGAACCAACGTGATTGGACAGTTAGTTAAGTATTTCTATTGTTTTACTTGATTGAGGGGGGGAGCTGCCCCTCCTGCGCCCCCTGGCTACGCCCATGGCTAGGCAGGGTTTGGCCCCAAATCTGTTCTTCAACCCAAGGGATCAAGGTTGGACTATGTGACAGAATGACAGGGAAAACAGTGACTTGGAGCATGAACAGAATGTGCATTTCTTTGTAGAACATGTGTGGGCCATTTCTATCCACACACCTGCAGTTAGGGGACTTCCAGATCAAAGGTTATGGATTCATACGGGTACCCCTCTCCCTCTCTCTCTCTCTCTCTCTCTCTCTCTCTCTCTCTCTCTCTCTCATTAAGCACTGCCATCATGCCAATGAGAATCTTCCTCCGCCCTACACCAGCGCAGATTGGAATGAAGGCCTTTACTCACTATTTCCATCCCATTTGGCTCTGCTTGCGGTGCGTGAGATTCTCTCACCCACCCCTTAAGCAGCAGTCGGGCACAAGCAAGTATCCGTGAAAATGTACAAATACAATTGCACAGATGTGAGAAAGACATGCTCACGGGGGGCACACACAGACACACCGACCGATACCATCACATGTGCCGCAAAATCAAGTGTCGGCACTAACCCACAAGCCCGATCCCGTGAAACAGTACATGTTCCCTCCTGAAATCCACACTCACAGGAGCATCTGCAAACAGTCACTGATAAGGCAGATCAATTTCAGGGCTGCTGTTGTTGATTAATGGTTCAAGTTTAAGCCAATTAACTGATGGATGAGTTGATGAAATCTGTATTAATTTGCAGAAAGATAACCTTTGTTCCGAAGAGAAGCATTTTTTAAGACAATGCACACATTTGTTGCAACAGACATTGTTTTTGGAGAGGCATTCTGCCTGATGTCTCTTACACTGGAGGAAATGCCTCTTTTGCGATGTTACTTGTATAAAAATTAAAATGTGTATAACAAATTTCCTGAGCACCTTTTACTCCCTTCCAATGACCTTTCTAACTGACAAATTGACCAAACCAGCCTTCCAAACATGTTGTCCTCCAGATGTTGTTGGACTCTAAGTCCCATCAGCCCCCAATCACCATGGTCACTGGTCAGGGATGATGGGAGTTGGAGCCCAAAACATTTGCAGGTCACCAGGTTGGGCTAGAGAAGGCAGCTAGGTGGATAGACTCACATACTTCTGGGGAACCTTTGGCCCAGCAGATGTGGCTGAGCTATGGGCAACTATGGGATTGCAGTGCTCATCTTGCTTTCAGGCCGAGGGAGCCGGCGTTTGTCCACAGACAGCTTTCTGGGTCATGTGGCCAGCATGACTAAACCACTTCTGGCTCAACTGAACACTGTGATGGAAACCAGAGAGCACGAAAATGCCGTTTGCCTTCCCACCGCAGTGGTACCTATTTATCTACTTGCACTGGTATGCTTTCGAACTGCTAGGTTGGCAGGAGCTAGGACAGAGCAACAGGAACTCACCCCGTCATGGGGATTCGAACCACCGACCTTCTGATCGGCAAGTCCAAGAGGCTCAATGGTTTAGACCACAGTGCCAACTCCCATCAGACACAGCAAGCATGGTCAGGGATGATGGCAGCTGTAGCTCAGTCACATCTGGAGGGCCAAAGGTTCCCCACACCTGCTCTGTGTGCATATCCAAAAGCAAGAGGCAGCGAAAGAGTACAAATTGACCTAAGGAGATTCACCGTCACTGGGCGACACACAGGCTGAAAGGGAGGTTTACGGGAACAGCTTCTCATGTGGCTCACACGCATGGAGAAAACAAAAGGCATGCCAGGCATTGTCTATCCACACACACCACTCACAACCGAGGTGTCAGGAATCCTTACAGCAGCTGGAGAGATGGCACCTGTTGAAAGCTGCCAGCTAAGATCTCGGTGAATCCTGAGCGAATTAGAGACCTGCAGAGAGAGGAAGGAGCGAGAGGGGGAGGAAAGAGAAAGGAAGGGGGGGTGGAAAGTGGATGATGTGAGGAAAGATGTCAGCTGCAGGCAGCCTGGCAGCACCAGCAAGCCCCATGAAGGATGGCACAGTCAGCCCCAAACTGAGCCTGCCCAGACTTGAAGGAGCTCAAACCCCGAAGCATCCTGACCACAGAACTCCAAAAAACCCCCAACCTTTCAAAGCCCAAACGTTGTTGTCTTCCCACCGCCACCCATAAAACCCCCCCTTCATTGCTGCACAGAGAGAGCTGAGCTGAAATCCGCCTCTGTTTTTTTCATGCAGCAGCTAGAGTGGTTGTGTGTTTCTGTGGAATGTCTCTAAGCTTTCCTGGAGTACACACTGCGTTTCAACCTAGGGTTCCTCTACTCACTTCCAAGGGTCTCCAGGGAGCTGCATGCCTGCATCTCTGCAACAGCAGAGCAATCCCTGAGAGATCTGCAGATGTTTTCACCTGCAAGTTATCTCTCCAGTCTATGGGGGGCGGGCGCTTGAGCCACACCTAGGATAGACACTTGTCCTGACCCTTGGATGCCACTGCTGGAGGTAGCAGCTGGGCAGTGTAGCAGCCACTAGAGGTGTTGCTCTAGGGAACAGGCAAGGGATCTAGGGCCCTGAGGACACATTCTTGGGCTCGCCAATCCAGTACAATTTGGGAAGGAGATGATTCTCCTCCTCCACACGGTTCAAAGCGCTGGGTCCCCGAAACCTTCCAGATTCCTCATAGCTAACCGCCAAGGATCCACCATCACTGCACCACACAGCCATGTGGGGAGGGGAGAAGCAGGGCATCCACCTTTACGTGCTGCCAAAAATCATTTCGCAATTAGAAATGAATAAATATGCTAAACGATGCCAAGCAGGAAAACCGACATCCAGCCACAACTATTGGCGGGGAGGGAAATGGAGGGGGGTGGGAGAGCACACCCCAAGGGCTGGTTGCTGATTCTCACAAGCAATAACCCTCCCCACGGTGGCGGCCCCATGTCCAGGGTTCCGATGTGGGGAGGGGAGGGCAGTTTAAAAAGAGCCATTCACCTTTCTTTTTGGGAGGGTCGCTCACCCACCCTTAAGGGGCTGTTGTTCAAAGGCTGGTGGGGCAGGGGAGCCTGGTGAAATTGAGAGGGTGGGGGAGTCAATCTGTAGATAGCACCCCCTCCTCTAAATTATTCAAGTCCTGGCCCCAAACTTTTAGGAGATGAATCCCCTAGCCCAGCCCCTCCTCAATGAACCGGAGCCACCGGAATCAAGTGTAAACTTAAGCAAATTATTTATCTGTCTGTCTGTTTATCTATCTATCATCTATCATCTATCATCTATCTATCTATCTATCTATCTATCATCTATCTATCCATCTATCCATCTATCCATCTATCCATCTATCTATCTCTATCTCCTTTATAACCCCCTGCTGTCCACCTTTTCCAAGCAAGGGGTCCTGGAGAATATGCATGTATTCTGCCTGCGTGTAAGGGAAAGGGAAGCGGGGTTCCTGCGTGGAGTGGGGGGCGACATTCCCCGAGCCCCCCACCGCCTCCAATCCCCGCACCCGCACCCCGGAGAGAAGCTTGCTTACAGGGAGAAGAGGTTCTGGGGCAGGTCTCGTGGGATCTCCTTGACCTTCTCGCAGATGGCCGTGTCCTTGAAGCAGGTGCAGCCCCCCGGGCACTTGCGCTTGGGGTACTTTCGGCCGCCGCTGCCCGGCCCAGCCAGGAGCAGCAGCAGCAGCAGCGGGGCGCCGGCGCCGCCGAGCCCCAGGCGCCAGCCCATCCTCCAGCCTCGCAGGGGCCCCAGGCGAGCAGCCCGGCCGGCGGGGCGCCTTCCCGGCGGCGGAGGCTCTGCTTTCCCCGCTCGCGCAAAGCGACCGGTCGCGTCCGCGTGGGCCCTAATCCCGAGGCGGCAGCGCCTTGCTCCGCGCTCCCGCCGTCATGGTCTCGCCGGCCTCCGCGGTGGCGTGCAAGGCGCCCTCTCCGCCGCCTGCGCCTGGATCCGGCAATGGGTCCCTTTTCGACTCCCTTTCGGCGGCGCAGACGCTCCCGGGTTACCGCCGCCTGCGGATCTTGCAATCCGCTTTGCCTGCTGCTCTGATTGCTGTGATCGCTAAAGATCTAAGTGTATGTATATATAGATAGATAATCAATCGACTTCTCCACCTAGGAGGGAAACGAAATAGAATCAGCTAATCGATTTGGGGCTGATAGGAAAGATCTAACCCCAAACAGCCATTCCTCTAAAGTGCATGCAGCCGTTGCACCCGTTTCCCTCTCCGCTCCTTCCTCCCTTTCTCTCTGCTCCGCTCTTGTCTCCGCAGATACATCACCGCCGCGTGTACACACGCGCACACACAGAGAGAGACCAGAGAGAGAGAGAGCGAGAGAGAGCGAGAGAAAGCTGCCAACCAATAGGAATGCAAGCTCTCGGCTGGCACAGCTACCAACCTACAGTGGGGAGGCAAATGAGATTGGAGGGAAAGGAGATGGGGAATCATTATTGTCACCCAGCACATCAAAACTCTGGAATTTGCTTCCGCAAGAGGTAGTGATGGCCGCTAGCTCGAGAGAGGATTGGACTAATTGATGGCGGATAATGGTTAGCACTAGCCAGCGCGACTGCGTGTCAGCTCCACTTCCCACAGGCATATGCCTGGTCACTGTCAGAATAGGATGATGGAGAAGCTGGGTCTTGGGCCTGATCCAAGCAGGGCCCTTCTAACGCTCTTCTGCAATGAGCAAGAGGGGCCCCAATTCAGGGTTGGCCCAAGTTGTTTTGCCCTCTGAAGCAAAGGACAACATAGGGGCCTCTCTTGTGTTGAGAAGTTGACTAGCCTGGCTGCTGGATTTTCAGCACTGGTGTCAGGATAGCGTCCTCCACACAGCACCTGAAGACAGCAGCTCAGTGCAGGGCAAGCCATGTAGCATATACAGTGGAAGATGGTCCTAGAGCTTAAGATGAACAACCAGGGAATTGCTGTTGCTCCCCAATATTTGCCACCTGAGGGCATTCTCCTCACTTTGCCTAATGGTAGGGCTGGCCCTCTGAATACATATTACCACCTAAAACAGGTGTGAGAGAGGGGGGGGCATTAAATCCCCAGAGTGTAAAATTATCTAACTGCACAGCTGGTGTTGCCTTCACAAAAATCATATGGGTGACACTGATCTTCCTGGGTGTGAGATTAGATCTCAGAACAAGAGTTCCATGTTCATTCTATTAATCACATGTCTGTATCTCACAGTCCCTACCGGAAGTGCAGATTAACACACACACATAGCTAGCAACTGACCTTATCCTACCAAACCAATGGGGATTCGAACCCAGGTCTCCCCAGACAGCCATGGCATTAGCATGCTCCCCAGGCAGCTGCCTGGGACCCATAAAAATTCGCCAATGAGGCCTGCTTTTGCTTCCCACTCTAGAAAAGGTGGCTGAGTCTACCATGTACCTTGGAGTGATGCTACAACAAGGGCATTATGGGAAATTAAATAAAGGTTCCAAGACACAGATCCCTGATGCTCCAGCTTCCACCTGGATAATCTATAGGGGACCAGCTGGCATATGAACAGCCCCACCAAATGGTACTTTATCAAGGGTCTCCTCCAATCTGCCCTGTTCTCAGGTTAAGTCCAACACTCCATGGGTACATTGCTTGAAAAAAGAACAAGCTAGATATAGTCTTTAACAACTCTGAAAGCAATCATAGTAAAACTTGGCCCTCCCCTCCAGATGTTTTGGGACTACAATTCCCATCATCCCTGACCACTGGTCCTGTTAGCTAGCTAGGGATCATGGGAGTTGTAGTCCCAAAACATCTGGTGGGCCGAGTTTGCCTATGCCTGATCTAGAGTCTGCTTAACTTTTTTGAATGAGCAGAGAGCCCACCACCTTTCAAGCTCCATAGTCAAAGACCTGGTACCATCAGGAAGTTATTTCTAATGTTTAGCAGAATATTCTAGTGTGTTCTAGGGAGGGATTGGTGTGAAGATATCAATTTTGGATTCTCTGTCTCTCTCCCCCCCCCCCCCCAGTCTTCAGGTCACCACATTTCTGCATCAGTTTGCATTTTGAAAATCCTCATGATAATTTCTCAGTATTTTAGTGCAAATTTCTCCTAATAAATGCATTTTTGAAAGCAGTTTGTTTGTGTTCTATTTTCATAGGTGCTAACTCCTAGGGGCCAAGGTCCCTTTGCCCCCCCCATAAAATGTTTGAGCACCCCCTTCAAGTTGATGGGCATTGTCATTCAAATGATGGGTATTCACAGCATCTTGTGATTCATTATTTGGGATGGGGTTTACCTGGGCTCCCCAATATTTTATTCAAGTTGGCACTCCAAGCTATTTTCATGATTATATACAGTTTTATGCACCTTTCTCCTATTGTATGCATTTTTGTATACAAAGAAGTGCAAATATTAAACAATGGCTGTGTTTGGGTTTGCATATTGTTTTGGAAAGCGCAAATTAGGTAGGCTTGCACTAAAATTCAAACTGAACAAAATTCCACCTCCTATCCCTAGTTCTTAGTGATTCAAATAGGGGTAGCAATAGGATACACAGTTAATGTACAGTGGTACCTCAGGTTACATACGCTTCAGGTTACACACTCCACTAAGCCAGAAATAGTGCTTCAGGTTAAGAACTTTGCTTCAGGATAAGAACAGAAATCGGGCTCCGGCAGTGCAGCGGCAGCAGGAGGCTCCATTAGCTAAAGTGGTGCTTCAGGTTAAGAACAGTTTCAGGTTAAGAACGGACCTCCGGAATGAATTAAGTACTTAACCCGAGGTACTACTGTATACAGAAATGGTGCCTCCAGTGTGATGAAAACATACATAAAACAGTTACGTATAGAAAAACAGTTAAAACAACACAAAACAATATGAATGTAAGGATATATGTATATTTAAAACAACAACAACAACACATGCATGCATACACACACACACACACACACACACACATACATATATTAAGTTCAAATATTTGTATCCAATGTTACTCAAGATACATACATTGAAATTATTGGATATGACTAACTTAGGACCATTCATTTCACTGAGTAGAACTCAAGTTGGATACAACCCTAAACGGAATTTGGGATTTCCACTGAGCTATGCTCACTTCATGAACTAATGCCAACTAACGGAAGAAGCCTCCTGGGAGTTTATTGGAAACCTGGTGGAATAGAGAGAAATAGCAGGGTATTGTTATAGCTGAATATAGACTCTACTGAAATGTCCAAGTGCATTGAGGGTGGCTTAGCTCTATATGTCAAAGAAGGCATAGGGTTCGATGATCTAGAAAATATATGAGGAATAAACACCTTTGCTTTGGCAGTTAGCTCAGCTGGTTAGAGTGTGGTGCTGATAATGCAAAGGTCATGGGATTATTCTTCTTCTTTGGTGATCACTCGTAGCCTAGTAAGATTGTCTTCCATAAACACGGTTTTACCAATGAGTCCATAAGTGACTGTGGAGGCCAATTCTGGATCACAGTGGGGACATGTGTTTCCAGGCGGGAGTTGATTATGATGTGGATTTGCCAAGCATGCCTTCCTCTTAGCACATTTCTCCCTTGCGTCCTGAGTTCGAGTGTCTTCAAAGCCCATGGCACCTTTGGTAAAGGCTGTTCTCCAATTGGAGTGCTCACAGGCAAGTGTTTCTCAATTGTTGGTGTTTATACTACATTGATCGTATTGTTCTATAATCACTGTGGGAACTACAGAATCACAGGAAAGGGAAAGAAACTATGCAAAGCACAGAAGCGTCACTTCTTTTTTTTACCCCTGTCTGATCAGCCCAACCTCTTCAGGCTTCTGAAATTTTGCCAGGCATGAGGACTAGAAACCTGCACTCTTCTCAAGACTGAGCCAAAGCAAGTGTCACCCCTTCACTTCCCAGTGCATTTTCCCATCACATTCATTACAGCAAAAAGGCCAGTATTTGGAGAAGAAGCAGCTTTGTTGTGCAAGACTTCCCAAGCAACTGTTATTGCATAACGTGAATTAGCTGGTATCTGATTGAATCCAACCCGAAAACAGTGACAGTCTGGAAGCCCCCTGATGATTTTTCCTGGTGCAGGGAGGCCCTCTGCTGGTGCTGCTTTCTCACTGAGGAAGATCTTTGTGTCAGTTCCGCAGAACAGAACTCACCGCAAGATCTGTGAATAACCATCGTCCTGGAAGCAGCACACAAGTCTAGGTTCTCTTGAAGCTCCCAGCCATTGAAAAGGACCACAGCTCAGGGTGAAGCACACATTTCGGTAGTTTGATCCTTAGCATTTCCAGGCAGATGACCCTTAGAGTCCATTCCAACTCTACAGTTCTATGATTCTCTCTGCTGTTCACCAGCGTGAAACAATACTGGGATTGACAAATAGACTGACCTGATCTAAGACAACTTCCTATTTTAATATGGCTAGCTCAATTTAAAAAAATTGAGCGTGTGCTCCAGAATCCTTTGTTATGATTAGGGATGGAGGGGAAGTTTGATTTAGTTTGTATTTAGAAATGCACTTACTAAATTCACATTTTCTGAAGCAATATGCGAACAAAAACCTAGCCATCCTTCAAAATTCTCTGAATTTTGCAACACAGTTATTCAACAAATTAATGTGTGCTAAAATGCATATGCTGGGGTGAAGTCTGCATAAAATTGTACTGCAAAACTGTGCATGTTAGGCAGATATGCATGCAAACGTGCATACATTAGGGGGAAATGCACTAAAACGCAGATTTGTTTTTGTTTTACATTGCAAACTGATGTGGAAATGTGGAGAACTGAACGGAAGGTTTGGAAGATGAGAAACCGAAGGGCCTGAATTTGAGATTCACCCATTCCCTATGCAGAACACCCTTGTGAGGTCAGTTAGTCTGAGCGATTGTGATTGGTCAGAAGTGGCTCATTGGGTGGGGTGAAGTTACTATGCTATGAAGTTGCTATGCTCGCTTCCCAACAGGTGAGCCACTGTTGCTCCCTGGGAGGGGATGGGTGGCAGGGAAGCCAGCATGGTGCAAACACATCAATCTGCCAGCAACAGCAATCCATCTGTGGATAAACTAGTTTAGCAGCTCCAGCCCACCCTGCCCCATCCGACAAGCTACTTCTGATCTGATTTATCCTCAGGGCTATTTGGGGAGTTCAACCCCACTCTCCCCAGTTGGAGTCTGGCAGCCTAGCCACTACAGTATGGCTTTCATTGAGAGAGTTTTGGACATGGACATGTTTCTGTCCCTGTGTGTGAAACTGTTTATTTATGAACTTAGAAAAGAAATGTGGTTGGCAAGGAGTCCCGAAACAAAATCACTGCAGACCTCGGCATACAAGAAA